GATGCTATTCAGTCCTTCCCAGAGATCTGGGTATCCATTTTTCATTCTCTTTAGCCTAAAGAATTTCCTTTAGCTTTCTTACCCTGCAGATCTGCTAGTGTCAAAAACTCTAAGTTGTCTTTTATCTAAAAACATCTTTATTTTACTATTTTCTTGGGAAATAATATCTTATGGAAATATGATTTGAAGCAAAAATAATAACAATGTGAAGTTGATAAATGTAAAAGTAAAATGTATAACAACAAAAATAGGACAGAATAAGTAGAAATACTATTGTTAAGTGTCATAATGTCAATTTGAAGTAAACTATGATAAGTTAAGGATGTATATATTATAACCCTAGAACCACTAAAAAAAAACAGTTTTGCTAAAAAGCATGTGAATGGTGGCACGTGAATCAACAATTGTCTCAAAATAAATATTTAATTAAAAAACCACACATACATGCACACACACACACAGCTGGTTACTCACAGCTCCCCAGAGGATTGGCACTTCAAACTCATGGCCACGTGGGGACGCCCTGAGTGGCATAATGTACCCCTTCTCTTATAACAATCCATCTTTTCAAAATCCATCAAACCTTACACACAAACACATGCAACTTATCTCTAACACTAATTTAATCTGATATCTATTAAATGTAACTCTTTTCCTAAATTCTCTAATGTTCTTGAGACTATGAAAGGTATTAGTAAATATTATGGATCCATAATGGAAGCTTTCTTCACTGCTTCTCTATCTTTCCCGTCTAATATTAAGGGCAAGAACATTAGGCTAGGACAGGGCTAGGGAATATGTGACCCATATTCTTAAGTGGCAGTGGAGAAAATACATGAGTAGAATTTTGTCCTTTTGGGCATAACTCAAAGTGACCTCTTGAGAGCAGAATATCATTTGAGTCTTACATATTAGCTAAAAATATGTTTATATTGACACATGATCTGAGAGAAGATATTTGCGCTATAAATATTTGGCAAAGGGTTAGTATCAAGAATATATAATCAACTTCTAAAAATCAATAAGAAATAAAAAAGCAAAGACAGAAAAACCCAATAAGAATGAAGACCAAAAAATGAACACCTAACCAAAGGAAATTAAAGAAAAACCGTACACTTAAGATTTCATTGTATGTTAATTACGCCACAATTTTTTAAAAACTAAAAAACAAACAAACAAACAACAAAACAGAAGAAAGGAATGAAGAGCAACTACTTAGCGAAACTTCTAGAAGGACATTAACACTGTTCAGAGAAGTAGGCTAACCAGCGGCAGGGGCTCCCATGGCCCTGCCTTTTTTTTTCCCTTTGCCTGTGGAAGCAGCAATAGGCAACAACAGGTCAGAGTGTGTTTTGTCTTCCTCATTTACCACAGAAGCCATCTTGGTTATGACCCAATCCACACAAATCAGGAAAAGAACCAATCTGGTTTCATTCTTCTCCAGTTAACAGTGACTGAAGAGGCTGACAGAGATCTGAAGCCAAAAGTCTTGGTCCAAACTAAGTCCTCGGGTATCTGCTCTTTACAAATGTGTCTCAAGCAAACAGGAACTCAGAGAGAGAGGTCTCTTGGTCAGACCCTCTGAAAACTTCTTGTTCTACCTTCCTTGACTTTCTAAGACTCGATGAGACCAGGAAAAGCCTTCACTTGTGAGAAACTGTGGCGAAGCTCACGTTCACTTCTTTTCAAGTGAGCAGACATCCTGAAAATTACTAAACCACCATTATTTGGACTCATGGACACACAAACAAAATGACGGCATCACTTGAAACGCACACACCTTACCAAGATGAAGACATACATATTCATGTTTTTAAAACATGTATAATGAAAGTGATTTCACAAAGACTTAGAATTGGGTAGCTAATTTTTATTAATCTGTTCTGATAAAGAAGACAGATGTTAAGAGAAGTTTTAAAAAGAAATTCCCAACCGCAAATATTCAAAACAATTAGCTGGGACCATTATTTCCTTAACACTAGCAAACATCACGTTGCCCTATGCTGCTTAAAACAAAACAAAGTGAAACCAAAAAGACAAAACCATGTGTCAAGCAGCTGACTGGGAAGAGGAGCAGGAAGGGGAATGGACTAGAAGTTTCTATCTGAAGATTCACAGGCATAATCAGAAGGGTTAAGAGGAAGAAAAGGCAAAATCAAATAATTATGGATGGTTGTTTACTTGCTGGCATCTTTCAAGCAAACCTCTAAAGGGCAACAGAGGGATCCTGGTTACAGCTTTTCTTTTGGGGAACAAAGATTTCTAGCCCTTGAATGTCAAAGGGGTGGACACCCCCCAAAGTATTGTTTTAGTCTACTGGATGAGTAGTTCTCTGATGTTAGTTTTCATCAACCATTGAAATTAAAAAACAAAAACAATGCATAATTTTGCAGGACCAATCAAGAATTGCCGTTAGCTCTAGACATAAAAAATAATGAACATTACCATCTCCCAATAACATTATTTTGTAATCATTTACTAATATCACCACAATTTTAACAACAATTAAAGCATGGAAAACACAACCTTAGGATATAAATTATATAATACACAGCTTTAAAAATAATCATTGCACTGTGTTTTTCTCATTTCACTGCAGAATGGCGAACTCTGTAGGACAGCCCTGGACAGAAGGCCTAAGTCTTTACTTGGCCAAGGCAGCAGACACGTGGGTGAAGGCCTTTTGAACTAGACAAAGCCATCCACCGGCCTGTTTATCAAGCCCAAACCCCACCATCTTCTCACTAATCTTCAGCAGATAATGAAAGCCATTTGGCAGAACTTGCTCAACTTTCTACCCATCTCTGGCCTCCATCAAAAGATGCGTCTTTATCCAAACTCAGTTTTAGCTCCTTTCCTCCATTTTCAGTAGGAAATGGTTCTGCTTGGTTCCATAGCCTTTTGACTTCTCAGGGATGCTAAATCCATCACTAACACCCTTGTCAGCTGTAGGGGATTAAAATTCTTTGACATTCCCCCCACTGAGAGGTGGAATCCATGCACCCTCCCCTTGAATCTGGGTAGACTCTGTGACTGCTTTGACCAATAGTATTTGTCAGAAGTGGTGCTGGTCCAGTTTCTGGGCCCAGGCCTTGAGAGACTCACAGCCTCCTCTTCCTGTCTCTTAAACACTCTAGGACTTCTGGGCTGCCCCAGAAGAGGGTGACAACCCTGGGACTACTCTGCTAGAGAAGCTTCATGGCTCTGGTCACGTCTTGGACGCTCCTGACTAGACCATCCACCAACTGAACACTAACAAGTGACACCAGTTAATGTCACGTAGGCAGAGGAATTGCCTAGCTGAGTCCTGCTCACATTGTTAACCCATAAAACCACGTATCGAGCCAATGGATTTTGGTTTCTTTTTTTTTAATGCAGCCACAGATAACCAGACCATGAGTATCTTTGAGACCTCTGTTACTCTTCCAGGAATTTTCTTTTGGAATACAAATATAAACATATTCGAATCTGGCTCAGCCTTATCAAAATTTCTCATTTTACCCTAAATTTTACCTTTTACATACCACGCACCTTCCTTTTCTCTTTCATCTATGCTCTCACCTTTCACTCTCCATCTTTCTGCAATGATGCCTACTCCCTAACCATGCAAGCAAAATTATTTTGCCAAGGTCAATGATGTTTAGGTTTTACCAAATACATATAGTGAATTATCGGTTCTTACCTTACTTGAGCTCTGAGTCGTGTGATGCTCCTGAACACTCGCTCCTTTAGGAAACTCTCTGCTCCCCAGGTCTCCACACCGCTCCCTCTTGCTTTTCTTATCTTCCTAGCAATTCTTTTTCCCCCCGATCTCTTCTCAGCTGCCTGTGCCTTATATATTGAGATTTCCCCCGAGTTTCTCTTCTCTACTTGTCTCTTCCCTATCTGCTTTTCAAAGTCATCCAATCCATCCTACATTTGTGCTTCAAATAGATCTGTATCTTGATGGCTTCAGAGTCTATATTTGTGGCCTAGATCTTTCTCTAGAACCTCAGGGCCAACTCCTTCATGGACAACTAGCTCCATTTAAACCTGGAGGCATTCAAACTCAACAATAGCAAAATTACCCCCACCACCACTGGCCCCCCATTCCACTGTCCTTCCTAGTCAGTCGATGGCTCCACCATTTACTTGGAAGTTACACTTGACGACTCCTTCAGCCATGCGCATAGTGATTCTACCTACTTAACACATCTACAGTTGGCTTACTCCTCGCCATCTCATTTCAAGCACCATAGTTCAGGATTTCATAATTTCTTATTATGGACTCCTCTGGCCTTCAGATTCAATCCACTCCATTCTAAGGCACCAATCTTATCCTGTCACTTCCTTTGCTAAAACCCTGGCTTACCTCCCCAGCAGTTCAGGTTAACTTTAAACTTCTTAATGTGACATACCCAGCCCTCACCTATGACTTCTCACCTCTTGCCTCTTTCCACTTGTGCCCTTATAGCCCACTATATGAAAATATTTGCTGTTCCATGAATTCACTGTACCTTCTCATACTGCCAGCCTCTGTTCCTGCTACTCCAGCCACATAAAACACCCCTCCCTGACTTCTAAACCAAATTAATAGTCACTTTTGGTTTAAAGCTCAATCTAGCTCTCACTTTCTCAAGAAAGCCCTCCCTCCCTCGTCGTTCTGTCCTGGGTAACTTTCCGAGTGTGCTTTTTGTGTGTTCCTCTCCATCATGACGTATTAAAACACAGTTTTCTATTTAGCAGTTCTTTATTTAAAAGTCTGTCTGAGCGCTAGACTAAGACTTCTTTGAAGGCGAGGATTTTTTTTTTATTTTTTATCTCAGTTCTCCAATTATGTTCTGGCACACTCATAGCTATTTGTTGAATGACTAAATGAATTAATGAGTGGCATGTGTTTAGTTGCCAGATTTACTAGTTTCAAATAGACTTTTAACAGTATTACAAAAAATTATGAAATTCATTAAAGTAATTTCTTTCTACAAAGGAATAATGCTAAAAAGGGCTGTATCAAAATTCACCTTCTCAGCTTTTCCTTGCTTGAATGAAGAAGAGAAATCTTTTTGCTTTTCTCGAAATCAGACAACGGAGCCCTTAATTCAAGCTCGGTGTCATTTCTTAGAGAGTCAGAGCTAGAAACAAGAGAAAATCACACGATGCATTTAAGAAGAAAATTGTCAGATAACATTAAGCAACAAGCACTAATACACAAATCAACAGCAGCTTCTCTAAGTCTCCTGCTTCAAACTAAGGTGTAGTAAATATCAAAGCACTTTACCTTACTCATTTGGTACAGAATAATTTATTTCAAAATTTCAAAATAATTTATTATCAAGGGCATCATAAATTCAATGACTGATCAAAATTCTAAAATATACTAATTAGGAATAACACAAAATAATCTGACCTCACTGGTTACAGCTATCCCAAATTATATAATTTATCTAAAGGTACATTACAGGAAAAAAAGAATAAAAGATTAGAGGGCCAAGATACACAATTCCATCTTTCTCGGCAAAGGGCAGGTGGCCTTCATATAAAAAATTTTCAATTAATGGACTTTTTTCTAGAACTTCTCCAGGCATTTCGATTGATTTGATTTTTTAAAAATTTCCCTATGAAACTTACAAACTAATATTATCTCCTTTATCCCAAGGGACACAACTTGATTTGAAGTTTTTCTTTTATTTTCAGTATTAGTATTCTGAGTAAAAACAAAGATTCAATGTGAGTGGGGCTCAAAAAGCAGTTGTAAGTAATATAAGAAAATCACAATCCAAAACCTTTCCCAACCTTACATCCCAGACAAGGTTTAATACAGTGCCCTTTGAAGCTAAAATGTTAAATAAGATTAAGAAGCTGTTGATATCTCCGCACTACTTCAGTGAGTGCATCTTTGGTTTAACCACATTTACTGGTTGCCAAGTCTCTTTGTTCAAAATAGTAGATGGTCACATTTCTACAAATAGTGGATGGTCACATTCTACAAATTCCAGAAGTGACTGACTCACAACTCTCATCAATATTGCCCATGTCCTCAGCAGTTGTGCCCATTGTTTGTAGCCCTGTGCTCTGTATTAAACTTGCTTGAAAATCAGCTAAAAGTGAAGGGAAGAAATTCATGAAAGCTGAATCAATATAAGCATACAATGCTAGCATTTCATTAGAAGGGTCTGACGCCCAGTGCTAATATCTCTGAGATGAGAGAAAGAGAGGAGAGAGGGAGGGAAGGAGAGGGGAGAGAAGGAGAAGGAAGGGAAAAGAGAAAGCCCGAGACCTTTTTAAGGGTCATTTTCAATAATTGGGGGGGATAGGTTAATAAGTTCAAAAAAGACATCAGAGAGATTAGTGGTAGGTAGAACACACCTGAGGCTGCTCTTATCTGTTTAAATGTTGGGGTTTATGTAAAATTTTTATTTGAAACTGTTTTTAAAAAGTTTGAACACTGCTGCTATTATTTAACTTTGATTAGTAATAATCCAGACTCTAACATGTCCAGCAATAGGGAACTTACTACCTTACAATCCACCCTACTCCCCGTGGACAATTGTGATAATAAAGTGCTCCCTTGCATTGAGCTGCATACTCTGTAACGTGTACCCACAGTCCCAGCTCTGGAGTCTGAAATACAGAAGTTGTGTCCGTCTTCCACAAAATAGCCTCTTCTTTTATATCACTCCCAGCACGTGAGTTAGCGTTTCACAAACAATAAGTTCTCTATAAATCTTTTAATGAAATGTACACAATAAAAATTGGTGTTTTGAAAAAGTGAGGAAAAAAAAAAAACTAACCAAGCAAATAGATCAGTAGAAAAATATCCCAGGTGTTCACTGTGGGACCTCTGCAGGGGCAATCCAGATTGCTCAGGCTTCATAGAGTTTTCATTCTTAACTGAAAGTTTTAAAAGGGGGACCATTGTAATTCTAAAATCACTGGTGCTAATTAAGTTAATCACACATACACACCCTAATCAACAGCAGCTGTCACTTTACTCAATAGATTTTACAAAGCAGTATTTTTAAAATAGAAAGCAATTTCTAGATCTCAGCCTGTGAAGCATAAAACCACCCAGGTTAGAAATCAAAATGAATATACCACATAATATTTACCCCAGGACATCCTCTTTCAACTGGATTTTGGAAACTTAGTGATTGGTTTGCTTAAAACACATTCAACTGAGTTTAGTTATTAAGTTCTTATTTATATACAAATGGCAGAGAGAGAAAATCTGTATGAGTCTTCAGTAAGCAGCTGTATTATCAAAATGTGGCATCTCACAGTGTTTTTGTTGTTGTTATTATTGTTGCTGTTTTGCAGCTGCTCATCCTTGGAGCAAAGATGAAGTTGGAAGACATGGTTATGACCAACCGGAAGGGGGCTGGACAGGTGGCGATGAGCAGCTGCTCTAGGTCTACTGAGAATCAAATAAGAAGAGGTCACAGAAGGAACTTTGGTCACCACGGTGAGCCATTCCAGGAAGAACTCTGAAACTGCAGGGGTGGGGAGCCACTGGAATGTTACAAAGCAGACTCACTAATCTTCCCTGAATATTAAAAAAGAGGGGTGTACGGAATCCTGTTTCATCTGAAGTATGAGCTTATACAGGATAATCCTGAAAGAGTCTTTCAGGCCCATTTTAAGAAAAATGCCACCTTAATTGTAAAAGATTTCCTAGCTAGTATCCCAAACCTAAAAAAACCATAGTCACAGACCAACAATTATTCCAGTAGAACTTAATTTCAAAAATTGGAGTCTGCCCTTTTACAAGCCAAATTAAAGCTAATTTAATTGGCTTAAGTGCATAGATGCTGGCAAAACAATACAAAAGAGGTGAAGAGTTAGAAATGTGAAGTCTAATTGAAGCGCTGACATTATCTGTATCTAAAAATCTAAAACAGAAAGGATAACTACTCTATTAAGAAGTAAGATAACTTATATGCACGTGTTTTGCCAAGCAAGAAGTATGACAGGATCCAAGGTTAGTGGCCTGGCTTTTAGATAATCATACAAGGACACAGCACAATTAGTTCCATTTTGATGACTGAGAAATAATGGTAGTAGCTAGGCTACAAAAACAGAGTAACAAGTTCACTATCAAAAAATAACCCCTGTGCCAAATGTATTGGTCCTCATACAATACATTTTAATTCCTGGAAGACGTAATTTTCTCTTCCCAGGTAGAGAACATGGTTCTCTTTATTTCAATTACACTTGTTTTCTTCAGACTATGATTAAGAAGGATTATGTGTTCTTACAGCAGGGGTCCCCAATTCTTGGGCTGTAGATTGGTACTGGTCCCTGGCCTGTTAAGAACCAAGCTACACAGCAGGAGGTGAGCAGTGGGCAAACAAGCAAAGCTTCGTCTGTATTTGCAGCTGCTCCCCAGCGCTGGCACCATCGCCTCAGGTCTGCCTCAGCTCTGCCTCAGATCATCAGATCATTAGATCTGCTCATTAGATCAGATCATTAAATTATAGGAGCACCGGTCCCTGGTGCCAAGAAGGTTGGGGACCGCTGCTTTACAGTACACAGTATACAGTTAACCCTTAGCAAATAAAAGGCAAAAATGGAAAAACAACTTTAAAAGGTATAAATATAGTTTTCCCAGTATTTTAATCAGAATTTTTCAAATCTTTGGTAATTTGTTTTTACTCACCAGTATTTGAGAAATATGTTTTCCAGTATTTTACCACAATGCTCAGTTTCTCCATTGTCAGTGGTTCAGTTAAAGTAATATCAGCTCCGTGCCCTGAAATACAACCTAAGAATCTCTGTATTATATATTGACCTATGGTTTCTATTTAGAGAGACAACAAATAATATATCCAGTGGGCACTTACCTTTAAAAATTTCAGGGATTATAAAAACAAACAGTAAATGTGTATTTTTCTTCTTGCCAAATCTGAGGAGAAAAAAATGTTAAAGTGAAGCAAAATCATCATTCGAAAAACTGAGATTCAACAGTTTAGCTTGTTAGAAATAAAACTAGAGTGATTTTCTGTATTTCTTTAGAATTTAAAATGGCATTAATATAGAAATTTAGTAGAAGTAGCATCTCAAATCAGTGAGAAAAGATGGACCACTTTTTCTTTTAACTTACAAGGAAAAGTATTATATTTTTATTTCATATAATTACATAAAGAGAATTCTGAAGTGTACAGCTACGGTGGATGGCACAATTACAGATTTTTGAGAAATACAGGGGAAAGAGATACTTTGGTAAAACTAATATTTACTCTGTTTAATGCTTGGCTTTTAGGAGATGCTTAAGCTTCTCTATTTCAGTTTAATGGGCAAGGAAATCCAAATCCTGAATCTTTAGTCAAACCCATGGCTTCTCTGAGCAGAAATTCACTGTTAATAAGAATAGTCCTTTTATGATTCATATCTATGGCAACAACTAGTGCCTGGTTCTTTACAGCTGGGGAAGGGGCGAGTGAGAGAACAGATGACTTTGTAAAAATAAACCTTTTAGAATAATTTTATATATTTCCAGAAAAACTATGAAAATAATAAAGTGTTCCCATATATTCCAAACTCAATTTCCTGTATTAACATTTTATATTAGGATGACATATTTCTCACAATTGACAAGCCAACATTGATACGTTATTATTCATTTAAGTCCATACTTTTGTCAGATTTCCTTAGTTTTTACTTATTGGACTTTTCTTCCCTATCCAAGGATCTCATCCAGGATACCACATAACATTTGTCATCAGATCTGCTTAGACTCCTCTAGATTGTGTACTTTCAATGATTTTTTTTTTTTTTTTTTAATGATCTTGACAGTTTTGAGGATACTGCTCAGGCATTAGAATGTAAAATGGACCACTTTCATTCTTGCTTTAAAAAAAAAGAGCCTAAATATTATCCAGATTCTTGATCTAACCACCAGTTTATAAGAAATTTAAGGAAAATAATTTTTAAAAGAATATTATGAGGATCAAATGAGCAAAATCCAGAATGTGAGAAATTCTATAAGAAAAATGATCCTTTTAAAGACATACGTAAATAAAGAGCAAGACAAAAAAAAATAAAGGAAAAATTGAATCCTGATTTGTACAAACTCACAGTTTAAAAAAGAAAGCATAAGATAAACAAGAGGAATTTCAACACTGATCAGATATTTGATAATATTAAGAAAATGTTATTAATTTTTAGGTGTGATATTGGTATGGTGGTAATTTTTTTAAGACTCCTTATCTTAGAGGATACTTATTAAAGTATTTATGGATGAAAGAAAATGATGTCTTAGATTTATTTTAAGATAATCCACCAATGGGTGGGGTGGAGGGTGGGAAAGGAGGTGTGGGAGACGGGAAGAGGAAACAAGATTGGCCATGTGTTGATGACTATTAAAGCTGCATATGGGAACACAGAAGTTCGTTATACTATTTATATGCTTGAAATCTTCCAAAATAAAACTTAAATTATAGCATTATTATTAACTACACTTAAGAGTTCAGTAAATTGGAATTTCTGATAATTTGATGAACACTAGAATAGTTAGCACTGACGTCGGCTAAAAAAATTTTTTTCCAAGGAGAATATTACGGTAAACTCAGCTTTAAAGAGAATAGCTAAAACTGCCTCAGAAAAACAAACTGTTCTTAAATATGAAACGCATCATTTACGACTTTGTGGTTTTATACAGTTTTATTCCTTAAAACACGACTCAGAGGAATCCCCAATGCATAATATTGTTAGATTATCTTATATACGCATGTGAAGGTAAATAGATATTATTCTACAGTCCAAATTACATTATAAGTACATTATATATCTGAGTCATATATACAATATTGAAAACCTACTCTGTGCCAGACTCTGTGCTAGGCTCTGGGGGATACTGTGAATATGCAGAGACAGACATAGTCATTGCTCTCGTGGATTTAATAGTTTCTTGGGGAGGAAAGACACTGAACCAGTTACTGTACCTAATTAAGTAGGTGGGCAAAACCATGCCCAGTGCTGTGAAGGAAAGCTGCAGGGTCCAATGGGAGCATGGACCTGGGCACGAACCAGCTCTGCAGCCTCACGGAGGCTTCCAGACAGAAATGCCCCACGGCTGGCTAGGAGTTAGCCACCTGAAAGGTAGGGGCTGGGGGAGGGTTGGAAGCAGACAGCAAAGTACATTCTGGGCAAAGAGAACAGCAGGTGCACAGGCCCTGGGGTGTAAAGAACAAGTCAGATTGAGAAAGCGAAAGAGGTCTAAGGTGACTCTAGCACAGAGCATGTGATTGACAGACACAGAGATGAGACCAGAGAGGTAGGCAGGGCCTAAGTCTGATTATAGTAGCCCTTTTAGGTCAAAGCGAAGATTAGTATTTAACTGAAATGAGCAATGGGAAACTTTTAAGAATGGGAGCAACATGGTTGTATTCGCATGTTAGAAAGACTCGCTCTGTGACGGGATGGCAGAGGGTGGATTTGCGAGAACAAACTGCAAACTGCCCAGTTATCTGGGCATGAGCTGACGACGGACCAACACAGACATGCCCCAAAACCTTCTTTAAACAATAACTCATAATATTTGCTAAGTTAATGACTTCAAATAACTAGAATGTTGCTAAAATTCACCCAATTGAGGTCTATTCAGACTTCATTCTATTCTATGAAATCTGACAAGTTTGGGCTGAAAGAGAAGAAGGGAAAGCAGGTGTAGCTTCCATGAGGAGATGAGGGTCTCAAGCAGAAGGACAGCCATCAGCACAGGCACAGGCGGGCGGGAGGGAGGCGAGGACTTGGCGAGCAGACAGGGCGGTGAGAGAGGCACGTTAGTATATTGGCGTGGAAGGGCATGGTGGAAACGCAGTGGGAACAGGGACGCTTGCCGCAGTGTAAGCATTTCGAATAGATTTTAAGAGATGAAAAATGTGAGTTATAGTGAAGGTATGGAGAACAGGATGAGGAAGCGAGGTGGGAGGGGAAAATGTACTGAGCAGTACTGGGACCACTGGAATAAACTTATTGGGCAGCTTAGTTCAACTTTTGAAATAAAAAAAGCTTTTCAGATTCACAAAAAGTAAATTATCGTAAGTTAAATACTCTAGAATTAGATCATTTAAAAGAATAGATTCTTTGCTTTCAAAAATAATCTTGTATCTATTTTTTAATTTTATAAACTGATTTTACTGACAGAAAAATAGGTTAGATTTGGATATATGGATTTATATGCCCTGATGACATTCAAAATTCAAGCTTTACATCAGACAGTTGGAATTCCTGGATTTTTGTCATTAGCACAGAATCAGTTACCAACCCAAACACTTCCCCCGCCAGTGAACCCCTAACTAACACTGCACAGAACTCCAGCCATCAATCGAGTTCCCAGAATCCAACAATCTGGTCGTAAGCTGAGCTGTCCATTCACATTCTACAAATCAATAGTTTCTAGTTTCCAGGATCACCAAAAGAAATGCTTTTTCTAACAAATGATTGTTTCTTAAAAGAAACACCCCAACTAAGACTACTACTTCCATATACTGAAAGCTAATTGTGGGTTCTGAGACCTCACAAGTACCTTCTCAACTGAACTCTCTTGGGTTTTAAAAATCTGTAATATGAAGAACTGCTTAGGGTGTGAAAAAAAAATGGCGTAGATGATAGAGGCTCTGTTCATCTCTCTGGCCACCAAATCAAAGTTGTGTTGGAAACAAGGAGCACCAGCAAGGAAAAAAAATCTCCTGGGATGAACAAGCCATACAACTAGGGAGAAATCCAAGAAGCACCCTGCAACAGCAAAAGGTAAGACGGGGCGAGGACGCGGGGCTGTCCAGTCCCAAGTAAAAAAATGGCGTAGATGATAGAGGCTCTGTTCATCTCTCTGGCCACCAAATCAAAGTTGTGTTGGAAACAAGGAGCACCAGCAAGGAAAAAAAATCTCCTGGGATGAACAAGCCATACAACTAGGGAGAAATCCAAGAAGCACCCTGCAACAGCAAAAGGTAGGACAGGGCGAGGACGCGGGGCTGTCCAGTCCCAAGCGGCTGAGTGACGGAGGCTGTGGCAGCGGCAGACGCCTCTTAAAGGGGCCACGTCCGCGAGTGGATTTTCACGGTGATGGACCTGCTCACTCTGAGCACCAGTGCTGACCTGGCTGTGCGCAGGGGGCACCAGGGACTTACAGGGGGACACTGTCAGAGTGAGGGCCAAGGTGACACTTGCTCGGTACAGAAGTGTCGGCAGTATCCATTTTTCCTCTGTTGAACCCTCCCGCATCCCACTGCACCGGGTCAGCTCACCATAGCTGAGATGTCATAGCCCAGAGGATTCCCTGAAACCTCACCTCCCCCAACCCAGCCCCGACCCAAGCCACAGCCAGTGTATCCTCAGCGAGTCAGGTGCTCCTTGCTGAGCAGTGACTAGACTCACACAGGTGGCTGCTGGCCTCAGTTTCTGGTGTGGCCTCTTGAGGCAACTATAAGCACAACATCTGTGGATTCCTTGCTGAATCTTAACAGGTGGCCTCAGAGGGATACAGGTTGGGGCTAAATTTGGCCTGCAGTTGAACCCCTCTCAGAAGCCCACTTGACACCTACATCACAAATCCATGCTAATAAGACTGGGAGACTGAGGAGCTTTGCTTATTACATAGAAACAGACACAGAAAGACAGCCAAAATGGGAACACAAAGAAGCAGAAACCATATGACAGAACAGAACAGAGATCCAGATATAATGGAGTCAAGCAGTCTAACAAATGCAGAGTTAATAACACTGGTTATAAAGATGCTCAATAAACTTTTGGGAAATGTAGAGAACACCAACAAAGAGATAAAAACGGAAATGGAAATTATAAGAGAGAACCAGTCTGAAATGGAGAACACATTATCTGAGATGAGAAGTATATTAAATGGAGTAAACAAAGGAATAAATAAAGTGAATAAAAAAGAGGATC